AGTGTCACCTTATTTCCTACTAATTTGAGCCTAGTGGTTGACTGTCATGAGTATCTTAGAAGATGCTAGCTCTCTTTGAAGCTTTTCTCATGGCTGGATATGGATATCACTAACATGTAGATTCTTTGGTGTCTAATAATGTATGAGTCAATTTAATTTTTTTTTTTTTCAAGGGGACAAGGAGATGATTCACAGGTTTCTGCCTCACAAGCTGGCAACCTTATAAGTCCATGAAACCCTGAGGAGCTTTTGACACCATTCCTCTGTTACATTGGGGTGCAATTGGCCAAAGGGTTCAAAGGTCAATGGAAGAGAGACTAAGAGAAAACTCATGCAATTCAGCTTGATCACATAAGCTTTGCAGATACAGAAAAATAGAATTAAAAAAATACTCCAGGAATTCCATATCTATTTTGAGTAAAGGTATCTTTATTAAATCACATGTGGTGAAATTAATCTCAATACAGGAATACAGTGAGGCAAATGTCCCATTCAAATCTCTCTTGTTCCTCATATTTTAGACCATTGTCTAAACATACAACATCCCAGTGGAGTTGGACAACTGTAGAACCTAATGGAGTTTGTAAAATATTTCGTACTTCATAATTTAAATACTAGACATTATCAACTGTTATCATTGAACAGTCATGACCGTAGTTTACTTTCATCAATACTTTTTCTCGCTGACACTATACTAGAAAAATTATTAATTCCTGCAGAGGGTCCTCTTTGCTTGCTGGCTAAATTTTAAGTCATCTTAAAAAATTAATACAATATAGCTTTCAACATTTGAAAACAGTGTGTAGTAAATGTACATTTGGAGTTTATTCCAGGAGCAGAGGGTATCACTCAGACTAGTCTGAGAGCAGCTTTTGCAACTGAAACAAATGTAGGTGTTAATGAACTGTCTTTCTTCACTTGCAGCCCTTGTATACTCTCCACCAACTACAGAAGCAGATTCGGTAAGTGTCACTCCTTCCTTTCCACCTTTTCCATTTCTTTAAAAGTTATATAGAAACCGTGCAGTCTTATCTAATTAAAAGTAGAAGAAAACTGCACAGCAGAAAGACAACTGGAGTGAGAATGGGGTGGTTTGGTAATTTCTTACAGTCATTACTATGCAAATAGCAATTATCAGCAGTTTCTTTAGCTCCCTAAGTAGGGACCAGTTCTTTGTCAGTGTTTTTTAAAAAGGTTAATGTTTTGTATTTCTCTGCAAATGTTCCAGCCTTTTCCCCCTACAGAAAAGCAGTGTGACAAAAAAGTAAGAAATACAGGATCGCAAAACTCCAGCAGTTCTGAACAGGAGGAACAGCATCTCTTGGAAACTTCTGGGTCCAGCAGTAGCTCCCTGAATAATCCAGCTGGGTCTGCAAGAGTCAGTGTAATAAGTAACAAGAACAATGAAAAGAAAGGATTTCAGCAGCAACATTCGGATGCAGAAGGTTGTAAGCTTCACAGTGGAGACAGACACAACTCTGCGAGTTCAGGTAAGAATGCATCGGAATGATCCAGAACCTCTTGAAATTTGGTTATCGATTAGGAGTCTTTTTAGAAGTTTAAATGGCAGGATAAAACATCAGACCCATGTTAGCAGCGAGTAACTTTTGAAAAGAAAATGTGATTGTTTTAAGTCATCAGCCTGAGACAGTAAAGAGACTGTGCTCAATGGAGGAAAAGTTATTTGCAGACTAGGGGATCAGTGTGATGGTAGGCACTTACTGTGAGTGGGACTAAGAGCTGAAGGGAGCAATAAGAAAAGAACATTGTCAAAGCATCTGAAATGGCAACAGATGGGTAGGGAGTTGGCTGTGATGCAGGGCTCTGTATTAATTTTTATGGCTTTTTTTATTTCTGGGATGACATGTGGATTTTATGATACCAAAAAAAACCCCGAAAACATTACAGATCCAACCCCACCAGCTTACCTAAATTAAGTGAAGCAAGAAGATATTTAGTGTCTATTTTAAGTCAAAGGACTGGATAAAGAATCCAATCATCCTGTTCTGGGTTTCATTCTTCCATGTTTAATGTGTTTTGTTTGTTTGACAGAGCATTCTGGTAATGGAGGAACGCAGGTGAATGTGACTTGCATTGTTAAAGTATGTAATCCAGACTGCAGTTCCCAGTTCCCAGAACAGACTACTTCAACTAGCATGGATTATGCAAATGCTCCCTATTATTCCCCAACAGGGGAAGAAATTCCCCTTTCGAAAGAAGAAAACCCCTTGAAAAAAGAAACTGAAATTCAGATCTCAGTGGAAAATGAGGACAATTTACTTCAAGACTTACTTCCAGAAGAAAAGAAGTTTCCTCTGGGTATTCAAGATGCGGGGATGAAAACCAGTTAAAGGAAATCACAAATCGTGTACTGATTGACTGATACAATTAATCAAACAGCGCCTTATCTTCTAAAATAAACATGTTAAATGTAGCATTCCTACAGAGACTTGAAATTTCAGACAAATATAGACAGTGATGCTTTTGAGGTTTTTAATCACTTTTGTCAGCTTTGAGAGTTGAAGGATGATCTTTGCATTTAAAAAAAAAAAAAATTTGAATGCTTTTTCTTTTAAACTGAATGGCCAATTCCTCCCTTTCTTCTGTGATACCTTTGAAAGACCTTTACTAGATTTGAAAAGGAACATTTTTCTAACTTTATGCCACTGATTTTTCTGCTGAGACTTCTTGTGAAGATAATTTAGGTTCAGGTATGCCACCTGTCAAGAACATGGCTGTGACTACTTCTAAGAGACTGGAGTTAAATTATCATTTGTTCAATGCTAATGAATTATCCATTTGATTTTAAAACTATTGCATTCAATGTCCTATCTTGTATCTTCATGGACATACTTTCCCTCATCCTCCTGGATATTTCTTTTATTACTACAGTTTGGTTTTGCGCACTATTGGACCAAACTTCTCAAATGAACCTTAAGTGTATCCAAGAGTGAAATGTTTTACAGAAGCTTTTTTTACTAGATTACAAGTATTATGTCCAAACAATAGCATTTCATTAGCTGTACATAGTTCATTTTATTTAGAAAATAAAGTCTAGATTAAATAGTTGTATCTCAGAGTAGGAAGTAAGTTTCTTTTATTGGCAGCCCTAAAGTTTGTCATCTTTGTCTCCTGGCTGATTTAATATGGTTCCCTGATTAATTCTGACCTCATTTTTGAGGTTAACCATAAACCCAAGATATTTTTTCCCTACATTCCAGTGAATGTTAGAGAAGATCTATGCGAATATGCATGCCAAGATAGCTCGCACCCATTGACGTCAGGAAAAGGGCTATTTCTTGATGAGTGCACAGCATAATCTGTAAAAAGTGGAATTGAGTCACACCTCAGAACCAGAAAATCCTGTTCTCCTTCACTTCTTGCTTGACACTGAAGATCCAACCACCTCTTACAGAAGATCAGTAGAGGTTCTCCTTGAATCAAGTGGGAGTCTTGTGGGATTTTTAGGATCCCATTTCCCATAATTATATTTTACATATGTGACTTAACCAGCAATTGTGGCACCTGTATTCAACCAGGATTCGCAATGCAGTGTCTGAATTATATTCGAGTGAAGGCATACACTAGGCATAACTTTTTTCTTTTATGCCATAAAAACATACTGTTGGACTAGATGATCGTTGTACTTCCCTTCCAACTGAACTATTCTGCCTCAAGAGAAACTAAATGCAGTAGTTATTTCTGGGGCCTTAGACTGAAAAAGGATATTTCACAATACAATTTATTCTACAGAAGAAATACAGATTTTAAATTACAAATTTTAAACTTCCACAAAAGCTATGAGGTTTTCTAACATTATGTCTGGAACTGAGAACTGCCAAACAGGTCTTTATTTCTACTACGAAGAAACCTTTTACAACTGTGTATTAAACTTGTGCTTGACAGTAATTTTCAGAAAAGACTTTGAAAATAGATACACTGAAACTATTACAAAACTGAAGGGTTTAGGCAAGAATGTAATTTTAGACAGTGCTTTGAACCTCTTGCACTGCGCTATTTTCATGTCTCGTCTGTCAGCTCCCAGTATTGGGACCACATTGAAGAAGCAGTGGAAGCCTTTTAAAGAAGTTTTAAGTCTTAAAAAGGAGGATCCCATTATGGCAGTTAATTGACTGGGTTTTCAATTTACAGAGCTGTGTGACAGAAGGAAAATACGAGTTTTATGTTTAAGTAGGAAAAACGTGCTTGCATTTGCTTATAAAAAGAAAAAAAAAAGTTTTTTATAATCATGTGTAGCTTCAAGTTTCCTGACTCTCCATTAAACAAAATTCTCATTTTTAGAACCGGTGGTTTCATTCCCTAGCTTAAGCCGCTGCTTTCCAATTTTCTTTCTCACCGCTACCACCTCCTACCTATAGGAGACCCGATCCACCGCAGCCTGCGCCTAGCCCTGCGCCGAAGAGTCATCCGCGGCTCTTCCACCTCAGCGGAGGCACGCAGCCGGAACCGCGCCTTCCCGGGCAAACGGAGAGCCCACAGACTCGGCTTGCTGCACGCGACAGCGGCTGGGCGGGGCTCCTCGCGCGGCTCCCGGCCGGATAATCGCTTCCAGGCCGGGCTCCAGGC